CACACACACACATTTTATATATATATATATATATATATATATATATATATATATATATATATATATATATATATATATATATATATATATGTACTATATAACAAATTAAAGGAAATAAAAGATATATCCAAGAATACATGAAGAACAAGTATAGAAAACACATCAATTTTTTCCATGGAAAGGTACCAAACAAAAAATAAATAAATAACACTGAAAAAAATAATACACACATAAATTCACTCCCAGTACAGATTCCACATTACACTATGCACAAAAAGCAGATCTCGTCTCTAAAAGGGGGTTTTGGGGGTATAAGTGACGTTATGGAAATGCTCGCGATTCCAGGGAAACTATAAAAAAAACGTGGAGGGGGATTGAAAAAAAAAACGAGGAGAATTAAAAAAAGAAAAAAATGTGGAGGAGGATTGAAAAAAAAAAACGTGGAGGAGAATTAAAAAAAAGAAAAAAATGTGGAGGAGGATTGAAAAAAAAAAAAAAAAAAAAAAAAACATTGAGGATAAAAAAAAAAACAAAAAAACAAACAAACCTAGAGGAGGATTACAAAAAAACGTGGAGGAGGATTAAAAAAAACAAAAAAAAAACGTGGAGGACGATTAAAAGAAAACGTGGAGGATTAAAAAAAAACAAAAAATGTGGAGGATTGGCTCACATCGAGGGAAGACGTGTCATCGTCCTTAACTGGGGTCTTGCTGCTCCCGGCCATGTTGACGAACTTGCTCAGGTGCTCGAAGTGCTTTGTCATGTCCGTGGCCAGGACCATGTCGATGATGCTCTTGCGTATGTGCTTGTACGTGTCGCGGTCCAGAGCTGCAACGTGCAATTGCAGTGGCATGCATCAGGGTATTGCTAAGGTGATGTGAGAGTGCATATTCTTGATTCTAAGTCATAGATATCATATGACTGGTCATGCTAAACACCATTAAATTATGTTCATATATACATATATTTGAATGTATCTGTGTTGATCTTTTTGTGAGTGCTTAGGCATGTGTGATACAAGTATCTGCATATGTCTATTACTGTATATGAATATATTTGAATATATATTTTGCATGTGTGTGTGTGTGTGTGTGTGTGTGTGTGTGTGTGTGTGTGTGTGTGTGTGTGTGTGTGTGTGTGTGTGTGTGTGTGTGTGTGTGTGTCTGTATAAGTATATGTATCTATAATAGCAACAACACAAATGATAATAATATTATCAAGTATGATAATGATGATGATAATAATGGTGATGATGATCATGATCTGTTTATAAGACCATCTGTGTAAAATCAGCAAGTCTTTGTTGAATTATGCCACTTCAATCTCAGATTTGTGAATTACTGAAACAAATCTGACAGTGGTAATGCACAGCATGTTGACATCCAGCATAACAAATTACAAAAGTTGTCACAGAGCAATTCTCTGTGAAAAAGATAAAGTTACTCATATTCAGAGCGGAGTTGGTGTCCATGTCTAATGAAACATTATGACATGACTGAAAACAATTTTTAAAGGCTCTAGATCATGGATGTATGGAAGGAATGGTGATGATATTCTTGATGGCAATAATGATATAAGAAATACTCATATTCTAGGTAACTCTCACATAAGGTCCCCTCTGACCATATTGTAAGACTGGTATTATAGAACCTGAGTTTATGTACATAATAACAGAAGGGTTAGGACACAACATAGGTCTTAAGCATCAAAATATGGTACACAAAATTATTCTACAGCATCAAAATCAATTTTGTGTTCACTTTTATAAAATAATAGTTGATGACTAGGATTTAATCTTTTTATGGTACTTGTTGGCTAACTTTTAATAAATAATTTCTTAAAAACTTCCTTCACTATTAACCTTTACAATCCAGATGATATGACCATCACATCATTAAAAAGTTTGGCTCGAGTGGCAGGTGACATGAACGAGCCATCATGGGAAAATTTGGCTGAGGACCAGGGTGAAGGCAAGTTGCTGTCATGAGTATTTCCGCTGAAGGCTGGGCTGACAGGAATGCTTCTCCACATGTGCAAAAAGCTCTTGGAGAGTGATGAGACTCAGTGAGCAATCGTGAAGGGGCTTTTAAATTATTCCCATCATAAATGTACCATCGGTGAGACATGACTAGAATAACCTATAACTGAAAGTTATGAAAAAAAAAGTAGAATTATGCAAATAATAAATAATACTTGTTATTATTGTTGCACTGAGTTATGGACTACTTAGAGAGATAACATGGAGTTTATGTAAGTAGAGCAGACTATTACCATATCAAATGACAAATATAGACACTGGAAAACAGCAAAAAAGCAAAAAAAATGCTTATGCAGAAAACAAGAAAATGCATTACAAAGGGGAAATATGGAGTCTTATCACTGCACACTAGTGTTAACTAGCCTACAAGCCACACACCCAGAAGAGTGGCTGCTCAAGTAAGCCTAATGTCTGTTTTTGGGGCCTAGTGTTGGCAGTGAAGCATCTGGATCCAATGGGTCATTTACAAAAATGGATTGTTTCCTGTAAGGTACATATGGCATGAATTCTGTATGATCTATTTTTGGAAATCATTCATTGTGAGAAGTGAATTCAATACTGTGGATTCCTAGTGATGTGATAATCGTGTAATCTTGTGATAGCAACCCATTAGTGTATGTACTATGAGTCTGTAGCAGGCTTGTCTTGGAAGTTATTTTCTAGAGTATTCAATTTGATTGGCACTGTCAAGATACTTTAGGCTGTCAACTTTTGAAAAAGTACTGTGTTGGTAACAGATGGTATTCTATATATTTGGTAGTATGACTGGTCTGTTAACCTTGCTTCTACATGTCTTCGTCAGCAAAATTGAGCTTCCTTAGTCCTAGCTGCATCAGGCATTTACAGGCAGTGTGGGTCCAAGTCTAGTGAGGGCCTAGTATGGACCTAGTGTGCTACCTTGAATATGACTGAAAACAATGATAATGACGAGGCTGACCATGATAACTTTTAGCATATTATATCATTATTAACAAAATGATGGACAGTAACATTCAGGATGATCCCATACCTTTAAATATATTGACCCGGTCATCTGAATGCGTGTGCTTGAAGGAAACCGCTGCGTGGTGTGACTCAAGAACACTCAGATCATTATAGAGGATAGCAAGCTCATTATCTGTATTGCACAAGAATGCACTGAAAAGAGAGAGAAAAAAAAAATTATAGCAGCAACATCAATAAAAGGTAAGTTCAAGTGTACATGCAACTGTTGGCACTGAAATTAAATATCCAATCAAGTATCAACTATCAATGCACGAGTTTTAATACATCACTTCTAATAAAGCATACAATTCATGTTTTTTACCTGTTTTTGCCAGGATGATCAACATCATGAACCACAGCTGCTATGAGGCATGAGGCCACGTCCAGAGGGTCCAAAAGCTGTTTTATTCTATCCTGATTTAAAAAGTAAGCCGTGCACTGGAGAACATCCGCTGCGTGGGTTGAGTTATGATACGTGTTATCTGGGTGGTAATTGGCTTCAATCAATGTCAGCCAATTCTGTAACGTCTGTTCATCACAGCCAAGTGTATTTGGGATGTCAAAACGACACATCAAGCTCATTCCAATCCACACAAGAGGTCTGTGTTGAATAAAATGGAAATAATCATTAATAAAGATAAAACAGAAATTCATCTGTACTCATTACAATAACATATTATCATCTCTTAACCATGTCCATGAATTTTCAGATTGACAGACTATAGGAGACAAAAACCATGACTTCCTCCTAACGTAAACCACCTTTTATCTGTTATTTTCTCCAGCTTGATGACATCGAAGTTCCAGGACATATCTTCAGCTAAGAGCTCTCGTATTCCTGCAGAGGCCTGCTGTTGCAACATGGGAAGTGATGGACGAGGTAGCTGACTGTACTTAGTTGCAGTATCACTACTACTACGACGACCTGACAGAAGTGGCTTTGGCCCTTGCTGTGAAAAGAGATGAGAAATTCAATAAAATCACAACTAGATATTATAACAATCTAGTGTATAGTTTTCAGTACTGTAATGATAATTGAATGCAAATAAAGCTGCTGTATATAATCTCATCAACAACAAAGATATATATTTCAAATATCTACAATAAAAATGGCTTCATATGTTTGAATTAAGTCCTTTTTCCTAGCAAAACAAATAAATAATTAAGCAAGATAATATCACATCTAAAAAGGATATAAAAGAAATGTCTCCCTTTACCACTACATTTTTGCAGTTGTTAAAATCAGGATAGACAGCATCATTGAGAAACAACTATATATACTCCCTAAAAGTGTGACAAATTGCACCCCTACAGTAGAGTGATACACAGAAATATTTGAATGATTTGGGCTATTGTGTATGTGTTTGCCAAGCCTCTTAATAAAATGTCTGCTGAGGTTATGTGTATTACAGCAATAACTGTGAACTCTACAATAACTTTTTACGATAATGCTATAGAAAGTAGAAAAAGAGAGAGAGAGAGAGAGAGAGAGAGAGAGAGAGAGAGAGAGAGAGAGAGAGAGAGAGAGAGAGAGAGAGAGAGAGAGAGAGAGAGAGAAAGAGAGAGAGAGAGAAAGAGAGAGAGAGAGAAAAAGAGAGAGAGAGAGAAAAAGAGAGAGAGAGAGAAAAAGAGAGAGAGAGAGAAAGAGAGAGAGAGAGAAAAAGAGAGAGAGAGAGAAAAAGAGAGAGAGAGAGAAAAAGAGAGAGAGAGAGAAAAAGAGAGAGAAAGACAAAGAGAGAGAGAGAGAGAGAGAGAGAGAGAGAGAGAGAGAGAGAGAGAGAGAGAGAGAGAGAGAGAGAGAGAGAGACAGACAGCCAGAGACAGAAAGACACAAACTCAACCTCACCGACAACAATCCTCCCAAAAGGTCCGTAGCAACCGGATCGGCCGGCACTGGCTTATTGTTGTCTGGAGCGGCCGAAATCAGCTGAGGGGAATACAGCTCCGTGGACCTCAGGATTTCCAGGACCTTCTCCAA